CTTTACCATGCCTGTGCCTGAGCCCATTGATGCAACCATTGTGCCAATCCATCTCTTTGAGACCCTTCCTTTTTTTCGCTGCCCCTCCACTTTACCAAACAGAATGTCCTTCTGCATGGACTGGTCTCTTCTGGCAATATGTCCAAAATATGTTAGATGGACGCTTGCTATCTTTGCCTCTAAGGCAAAGATATATTGCTTTGTCCTTTTAGCCGTCCATGGTACTTCCAATATTCTTCTCCAGCACCAAAATTTAAATCTATCTATTAGTTTATGGTCTTCCTTATTCAATATCCAACTTTTACATGAATATGAGGCAATGGAAAATACCATATCTTGAATCAGGCCCACCTTAGTCCTAAAAGTAACATCTTTGCTCTTCAATACTCTAAAGAGGTCTTGTGCAGCAGATTTACCTAATGCAATACATCTTTTGCTCTCTTGATTGCTGCTTCCATGAACATTGTTTGTGGATACAAGCAAGACAAAATCCTTGACAACTTCAATCTTTTCTCCATTTGTCCTGATGTTACCTATTGGTCTAGCTGTGAGGATTTTGGTCTTCCTTATATTAAATTGTAATCCATACAGAAGGCTACACTCCTTGATCTTCATCAGCAAAATCTTTAATTCCTACTCACTTTCAGTAAGAAAGGTTGTGTCATCTGCATAGTGCAGATGGTAATAAGTGTTCCTCCAATTCTGATGCCCATTCTTCTTCATGTAATCCAGCTTCTCTGATGATTTGATTTGCATATAGATTGAGTAGATAAGATGAGACACACACATGATACATAGTTTTCCTGATTTTAAACCATGCAATATTTCCTTCTGTTATCATAAATAAGTGCCTCTTGAACCACATACAAGGCCTGAATGAGCACAATGAAATGTTTTGGAATTCCCATTCTTCTCAAGTTTATCCAGAGTTTTTTTATGGTCTACACAGTCAAATGGTTTTTCATAGTCAATGAACATAAATAAACCTCTTTCTAGTACTCTCTGCTTTTAGCCAAGAGCCATCTGACATCAGCAATGATATTTCTTGTTCTATGTCCTCTTCTAAATCTGGCCTGACCATCTGGCCTGTCGGTGTACTGCTGCAAATGTTGCTGGATGATCTTCAGCAAAATTTTACTTGTGTGCAATATCAATGATATCATTCTATAATTTGAGCATTCTACTGCGTTAGCCATGTTTTGGTATGGGCACAAATATGGATCACTTTGTCAATTGCTCAGATAGCTGTCTTCCAAATTTCCTACCATGCACAAGTAAGTGCTTCCTATGCATTTTCATCTTTCTGAAACAATTCAATGGGTAATCTGACAATTCCTGGAATTGCTAATGGCTTTGAACTTCTTCCTCAGTTCCATTGGTACTTGTTCATAAGCTACCTTCTGAAATGGTGAACTCTTCAACTAGAATATTTTGGTACAGTGACTCTGTGTATTCTTCTGATGCTTCCTGCATCATTCAATATTTTGCCTAGGACAAAAATAATTACAAAATTTGAATTCATTGCTTTTGGTTTTGTTTTCTC